TCTCTCTCTCTCTCTAACTCATTTCGTTTCTGACGCTTTCGCTGGACTCAGCTACCTGTCCATCGTTGCTCTCCCTGCTTTTCCTTTTCCATTCGCTGGCCTGCCCAGATTGCCCCGCAGCCGGAATCACACGCGTGGGCTGCCAGCCTCGGACGAAGTCTCAATGTTCATTGGTGTGCCGTGCGTGGTACCCGTTTGGTTACGGCCCACGAGTGCGGCACCGTGGCGTTGCAGGAAAAGTGTGCGCGTGCGCGCGTGCCTGTATAGACCATTCCAAATTCTGCATGCCTCACCCTCTTCTGCATACTTATGCAGTTTGGGTTTGTTTTTATGCATATGTGCGTGCCCGCATCTGTATGGCCATAGCTCCCATGTTGCACCCCCTCGCAGCGGGGGCGCGGGGAAAACATGCGTGAACGCCTCGATCGCCTCTAGCCTTCCTGTGCAGTTTGTGCTCCGCGTGCTCCTGCACCTGCACGGCCTTCTCGGTGTCTTCCGCTTGTATGCGCGTTCTCGCGTTTTTCAACATGCGTTCTGCCCCCTGCCAGACCCGCCATCTGCATCGCCAGGTGGTACTTGAACTGAGCGTGCACCGCCTTGGTACTCGCGACGGTGCCGCCACCTCGCCACTGGAGGACATGATTGTGTGTGTGCGCGTGGTTTGCCAGCCCTCGCTGGCTCTATCTGCGTTCGCCTGGCTTCCAGTAGCGTTCGGCCAGGCGCGCCCCTACAGTCGGACTGTCCTGGCGGCTCTGCCAGCACACCGTGCGGCCCCGACGGTGCCTTGTCCCTGGCTCGTACTCGCCACCGTCACGCGTCGGTGCGGTCCCCCGCTCCCCGCCGCACGGTTTTCCCCGCCTTGGCCCCTGTGTTCTTTGCTCTTGCAGGGCGGCGCTGGGTGTCTGTGTTGTCCTGCATGATTGCATGTTACGTTTCCGCGCCTTCTTCCGCACGCGGCTGCCCACGCAGTCTACCGACTTGTTACGCCTGTTTGGGTTCGGCTAAGCGTGCCCTGGCTTTGTTTTCAGCGCGGTACCGCCACCTCGCCTCTGGAGGAAACCTGTGCGTTGTTTGCTCTCGCTTTTCCGAAGCGTCCTGTGGTGTCGAGTCTTCGTTTTGAATCCGCAGCGCCCCGCTTCCACTCCTCCTCCTCCTCCTCCTCCTCCTCCTCCTTCTCCTCCTCCTTCCTTCTCCTCCTCCTTCTCCTCCTCCTCCTCCTCGTTCTCCTCCTCTTCCTCCTCCTCCACCTCCTCCTCCTCGTCCTCCTCCTCCTCCTCCTCCTTCTTTCGACAGCTCGCTCAGTTCCTTCATTCTCCCGTTCCCCCTTCGTCCACCGCTCGCACGTCTCGTGGCCTCACAGGGGGCTCCACCAAAGACCCCAGTGGCAGTCCGCATGGTTCCCCCCCATCCCGGCACGCCCCTCGCACGATTCGTCGCCTCATTCCATCCAGGGAGCTCCACCCAAGGTCTGTGTTGGCACTGCAGACTGTCCCGGACGTTCCGGACACCGTCTGGACGTTCTGGGCGTCCTGGGCAGAACGGCTGCTCCGGACAGTTGTAAGAGTTGCTGTCCTGGGGGCGCGCGAGCGACTTCGGTCTGGGGCTCCTGTCGGCCCGCATCGACCCAGTAACGTTGCGATCTGGGGCCCGCCAGCGCCGCATCGCCAGAAATCTACGTTTCTTGGCGGAGGTGGGAGCGGAGGAGGAGCAGGGGGAGGGGGGGGAGGAGGAGGAGGAGGAGGAGGAGGAGGAGGAGGAGGAGGAGGAGGAGGAGGAGGAGGAGGAGGAGGAGGAGGACCTAGGCCAGCGCAGGAGGAGGGGGAGGAGGGGCAGGAGGAGGAGGAGGTGGAGGAGGAGGAGGAGGAGGAGGAGGAGGAAGAGGAGGAGGAAAGCGAGGGAGGTGAGGGGGCTGAGAAACGAGGAGGAAGGATGGAGGGAGGGATGGGGGGGCGAGGGACTCAGGAAGAGAGGGACGCAGAGAGGTCGAAATCTACATCATTGGGCGAGGAGGTGGGCGAGAGGCAGGCTTGGCTGGTTGGCCGTTTGGTTTGGCGGTCGGTTGGATTGTTGGCTGGTCGGATGAAACTTCCAGTGGCTGATCAGGCTGGTTGGCCTGGCTTAGCGGGGAACCACCTGCTTGACATCAGCATGCCCCCCCCCCGCATACTGCCCCAGCGTATGATGCACGACGCGAGAAGGATTCGGACGAAAAGGAAAGAAGGGGGGGCGGGGAGATGGAGGCGGGGGCCGTAAGATGAGGGCGGGAACGAGGGCGAGGAGGACCGAGCCTCGCCTTCCGCGGCCATTTTGGATCAAGCCCCCTCCCCCGAGGGTCGGCTGCGCTGGCCCTGGAGGGCGGCAGACCTTGCAGTGTGCCCAAGGACGTCAATTTTGGCCCCTCCCGGCGTCGGAACGCCCGAAGTCTATGTCCCTGGGCGGCCTGCTGGCCACGGGGGCCACGAGGCCAGAGGGCCCTGGGGCCCCCGAGGACCTCGGAACGGGGGGGGGGGCCTCGGACGTGGAGCCCACGCGTTTGTCCCGGACATTGTTCCGGACCCAGTGCCGGCCAGTGCTCCGGACATATTCGCTTTAGACGCGGCACGGTGCCAACACGACCCAAGGCCCAAGTGGCACAGTCCGCACGCGTCCCCCCGCCCATTGAGGCACACCCCTCACGCGCTATGTGGCCCCATGGGGTGCTTCACCCAGGGCCCTGGTTTCACAGTCATTCCTCCCTACGTACGCCCATTTAGGGGCACGCCCCTCACACGTTGCGTGGCCCCATAGGGAGCTTCAACCAAGGCCCTGGTGGCACAGTCCGCATGCGTCCCCCCGCCCATTCCGGCAAGCCCCTCACGCGTTGCGTGGCCCCATGGGGAGCTCAACACAAGGCCCTGGCGGCACAGTCCGCATGCGTCTCCCCCGCCCATTCCGGCACATCTCTCGCACGTTTCGTGGCCGCAGTCGGGGAACTCCCCCCAAGGCCCAAGTGACAAAGTCCCCATGCATTCCCTCCTCTTCATTCCAGCACGCCCTTCACACGTTTCGTGGTTCCGTGGGGAGCTCCACCCAAGGCTCCACTGGCACAGCCCGCATGCGTTCCCTCCCCCCCATTCCGGCACGCCCCTCACATGCTTAGTGACCCCGTACAGGCAGTCAGGCAAGTTGGTACGATTTGAAAAGCCGGCCCGAAAAGTCACATCGCACGAAGGTGCCAGACTGTCGGTCCAGCCAGGCCAGGGGCCGTCGGCGCAGCCAGCGTGGGGACAAGGGGGTTGTCGGCAGGTCGCGGGCGATGGGCACGCGTGTCAGCGTCGCCTCGGGCGTCGGATCCAGCTTCGGATCCGCCACGGATCCTGTACGGCTCCGAAGTTTCCGGTCGATTTTGGGCAGGTCCGAGTGGTGGTAAAGTCATGTGTTTCGCACCGAGCCTGTCTGACCGCTGCACCCCTGCGCTATATTAAGTACGGGTAGCCATATAATCCGAGGACAACTTACCCAGGGCACGGGGCTAGGCGCCCTCTGGAAGGTTTATTGAGGCTCTTCTAGTTCGAATTTTGCCCGGGCGGCTCCTTGTAAGATCTGATTGAGCTGCTCCTCTGGGTTCCGACGTTTGGACCGTCGCGCGTTCTGATCACTGGACCTCGACGTCGCCGGCGTCGTCGTCGTCGTCCTCGCCGCCGCAACCGCCGTCGCCGTCGCCGACGTCGCCGACGCCGTTGTCGTCGTCGTCGTCGTCGTCGTCGTCGTCGTCGTCGTCGTCGTCGTCGTCGTCGTCGTCGCCTTCACCACCACCGCCCCGTTCGTGGTATGTCGCGATCGCCGCCGCCGTCGTCCTCGGATTTTATGGCCGCCCTTAATAGACATGATATGAGGGTACAGCGGTCAGACAGGATCCACGCAGAAAGCGTGATTTTCCCACCACTCGGATCCGTCCCAAACCAAATGCATTCGCACAGGGTCCGTCCATGAAACTTTGGATCCGCATAGGGTCCGTGGCGGATCTGTACCCGGCCAAACTCGACGCCCGAGGCGACTCTGTGGGAGTTCCTGAGCGCACCCGGGCGGGCTCGCGCCCGTGCGCCGTCTTCCAGGCTCACTCTGGGCGAATCGTACCAACTCTACCTGACTGTCTGTAGGGAGCTAAACCCAGGGCCCTTGCGGCACAGTCCGCATGCGTCCCCCCGCCCATTCTGGCACACCCCTCACACGCTTCGTGGCCCCGTTCAGGGGACCCCAACCAAGGCCCAAGTGGCACAGTCCACACGCATCCCTCCCTCGTCATTTCAGCACTCCCTTCACACGTTTCGTGGTTCCGTGGGGAGCTCCACCCGAGGCTCCACTGGCACAGCCCGCATGCGTCTTCTCGCCCGCCCCTCACACGCTACGTAGCCCCATAGGGAGCTCCACACAAGGCCCCGTCCGCATGCGTCCCGCCGCCAATTTCGGTACACCCCTCACAATTTTCGTGGCCCCACAGGGAGCTTCCCCTTCCTTCGTCCCACCTGCCTTGCGGTATTCACACTTGCATACGGTTGGGTCCGTCGCCAGGATAGTGTTGTTGCCCCCGCGCCCATTTTTTCTCGCGCTCGCATGGATTCACAGCTCGGACAATGGCCGAGGGCATCGGTTCTGTCCATACCTCGACCAGAGCTGTGGGAGGCCGATCGCTGTGCACAACGCCTTCGTCCTTCTTGCGCTGCCGTGGCCACGTCCACGCTGCATGCTTTGGTTCTCCGCCATCTCCGCTTCGTTTTTGAGCGGGGTCCCAGATGCCTTTTCTAGGCTGAGCCCCCCCCCTTGTCGGGCCTTGCCCGTCGCTCGTGCCACCCTACGGCGATGCTTTCGGGACCCCGTGCGGGTCCTGAACGTGTAGGCGCCGTGGCCGCAAGAACAGCTGATGCCCCGCTCCTCAGAACACCGGCCCTCGAACAAAACCAGCGCTCCAGCTTGATATCTCTCCGCTCCGTATTCAGGAGTGGCGTTCGCGCGTGGGGCTCGCAGACGGCCCCCCTACAGAAACGGCGCTCCCGCTCGATACCTCATCGTTTTTCCCCCATGCTCACGGTGTTCGCGCCCGCCAGGAGCCCCCCCGGCTGACCGAGGAGGAGCTCGACGAGCAGGCCGCTCGTGCCGCTGGGTGCGCGCCGAAAGGTCGTGGTTCGCGCCTGGGACAGACTCGGCCTGGCCAAGGCCATCTTGCCGCGCGTGCTTGTTGTGGCGGCTCTGCGTAAAAAGCTCTGCGTGGTCACAGTTCTCCATCCATAGAAGACAGGGGGGGGGGGGGGGCAAGTTGCGACAACGGTAGCTGGCCTCTCTGACCGTGGCTCAAGCTGTGGGGGATAAGCTTTTGTTGGCACCTCTATATGTATATAGATACACATGAACAGGCGACTGAAAAGACATGAACGCAGATGTGTGTAATCTTAAGTGTGAGACACGCGTAGGCATACATACGCATATCAGAGGGGGCCGAACGGTCATTCATTGTCCATGGGTGCGTGGCTGAAGTGGGGATCCTTGGTGAGGATGTTGCTTGTTGTTGTTGTTGTTGTTGTAGTTGTTGCTGTTGTTGTTGTTGGTGTTGTTGGTGTTGTTGTTGTTGTTGTTGTTGTTGTTGTTGTTGTTGTTGTTGTTGGTGTTGTTGTTGTTGTTGTTGTTGTCGTTGCTAGTGTTGTTATTGTTGTTGTTGATGTTGAAGAGGGACGGGCGCAGAGCCCCGCCCCCCCCCCCCCAAGCAACCAGCAGCCCAGCACCCCCCCAGGAGGGCCGAAGGCCCCCCCTGGGGGCCTTCGAAGGCCCTTCTGGTGGTTTGCTGGGTTGCTGGTTCTATGCCCCAGATTGGTGATCCTGGGGCCCCTTGCGAGTTCCTGGAGAGTTCTGGAGGCATCTTGGGAATTCTGGACTCTTGGGAGTTCTGGAGGCCTCGTATCTTCTGGCCGATTAAAACGTTTCTGGATTCCTCCTGGGGGTTCTCTGGACGCTTTTTGGTGGTTCTCCGGAGGTTTCTGGGGGCTTCTTTGGGAGCCTTTTGGGGGTTCTCTGGCTGAGATAGAGGAGGATGAGGAGGAGGAGGAGGAGGAGGAGGAGGTGGAGGAGGAGGAGGCGGAGGCGGAGGAGGTGGAGGAGGAGGTGGAGGAGGAGGAGGAGGAGGAGGAGGAGGAGGAGGAGAGAAGAGAAGGAAAGGTTTGGAAAAGGAGGAGTAAAAGAAGGAAGAGGAGGACATGAAGGAAGACGAGGAGGCCGAGGACGAGGAGGAGGAGGACCAGAAACGGAGGAGGAGGAGGAGGAGGAGGGGAGGAGGAGGAGGAGGAGGAGGAGGAGGAGGAGGAGGAGGGGGAGGTGGAGAGTAGGGAGCGGAGGAGGGGGGAGCAGGAAGTGGAGGAGGAGGCAGCACGCGGAGGTTGGAGGAGGAGGATCAGGAGGAAGAGGAGGACGAGGAGGAGGAGAAGAACGAGGAGGAGGAGGTCGGAGGAAGAGGAGAGCGAGAAGAGCGGGGAGGAAAACAATGAGGAGGAGGAGGAGGAGGAGGAGGAGGAGGAGGAGGAGGAATACACGAAAATGAAGAAGGAGGACAATCTGGAGGTGGAGGAGCTGGAGAAGGGAGCAGTAGGATGAGGGTCAGGCGGACGAGGTGGAGGAGGAGTCTGACGAGAAGGAGGAGGACGAGGGGGAGGAGGAGGACGGGGAGGATGAAAATGAGGAGGGGAACAGTCGGGAAGCGGAGAAGGCGGAGGAGGATCAGCAGGACCCCCTGGAGGATCATTCTGGAATTTGTCAGAATCCTCAAAGTTTCCTTGGGGTCCCCTTGAGAATCCCATGGGCTCCTCATGGGGTTCTCGAGATATCCTTAGAGGTCGTCAGGATTCCCTATCCTCAGGGTTTCCTGATGGTTGCCTTGGGCTTCGGAGAATTGCGTATGGGTTTCCTGAGGATGCCCAAGGGGTTCCAGAGGATCCCCTGCGAGTTCTAGAGGGTTCCCCGTACGCAATGCTGTGCTGAACGTCTTCCACGGACGTACGATTAGTGGTTTCCTGTATCTGAACGTGGACGGGAACCATTTAGGGTGAGCAGGCTTTGCCGTCGGAGTTTTGCTGGTACCCATCGCACGTCCTTTTTAGAGGTACAGGCGAGCGGCCAGGCTCCTTTCTCGATGCTGTCTGTTGCGACAGCAACTTCCCCACAGGCAGTCTTTGGCATATTGTACTGCTGCAGGCATTGCAATTCAGTGCCCTCATACTGCGAGTCGTGGACATGTGTCGCCTCCTCGCGCTACCCCCAGGAGGTCACAGGAGGCTGAGGAGGCTACAGTGGAGCCCATGACCCCCCAGGCGGCCTTATGATGACAATGGCGATGGCGATTCTGTTATCGATCATAAAGCTGGTAATGATAGTGGTGTTGATAACGATAACGACGATGATGCTGATGGTGACGATGCTGATGGGGATTCGCCTATGACAATTTTCGGGCTCACGCCCAGTCCAGTAAATATGCTCCTCTCCGCACCACCATCCTGTTGCCCTTGCCACCGTTACTGTTGCACGGACTGGCTATCTGCAGCCACCCAGATTCGAGAGGTATATGAAATAGGAGCGTGCTGGCTTGCGCGCGCACCGAGGGGTCGTCCCCTCGTCGTCGTGGTGTCGTCGGCCGGCCAACCTCCTCCCGACCACACATATTTCACTGATCCGCTTATCGGAACATTCCTTCCAAGCTATGGCCTTGTCAAAGCCCCCTGAGCTTTCCTCGCAAAACCAACCCTCGGGGGAAACGGAGACTACATCGGAACATGTTGCAGGGATGGCTAATATCCAGGCAACAAACTATACCCCCTTGGCAGCGTAGTGCAGGCATGGCTCAGCAATCCGCATCAATTTGTTGTCTTCATATTGTAACCTGTTTTTTTGTTGTGGTCACCCCGTATTCTTGTTAACGTGATGAGCGAGCCTGCTTCAGAGGCTGATGCAGTTCCGACAGGTGCTGCAGGCGTGGCTCGTCGTTTGTCGAAGGCGCGTTGCTGCCAGACTTGCCAGACAATCAAGGCCGACGGCCCCAGCCACAAAAGTAGCGCGAAACACCTCGTCGGGCATCCCCAAGGCCTGCGGCGAATCGCCGCGGCCCTTGCCTTTCTGGGAGCGCATCTGTCGCCGAGGGGGAGGAGGAAGCGGAAGAGGAATGGGAGCACGAGGAGAAGGGGAGGCGCAGGAAGAGAAGGAGGGAGACGTGATGCTGTGCGTCTGAACTTGTTGACACGGCAACACCATGCCCAGGGCACGGTGGTGGATTTGACAGAAGAGGAAAAGGCGTCCGAAACCGATAGGTGGAAGGCCACACATATTGGCGACAAGGATGCTTTGATGGCTTGCACGGCGGCGAGAGCGATGCAGGGTGCCCGTGGCGCGGGGTGCCCCTCTTCGACGGTGCCACGTATGCTGCCACTTCGCTCTTGGCGATGTGGTTTGTGCGCCGAGGGCGTCACGCAGACCGCTGCCTGCCGCATGCTGAACGTATCCGTGGACCTGGTCAGACGGTGCTACAATGCGGCCAGAGTGGTCATGACAGCGAGCGGGCTGGCGCGCCAAACCGCCATCGTACACGGTTGCAACGGAACGGCGACCAGTGATATCGAGGCTGACGAGACACCCGCGGCGAAGTGGAAGGAGTGGGACGAGGAGAAGCAGGAGTGGGTGTACCACTGGCACGTCTGGATCGGACTGGTCTGTAGGGGCGCCATCGAGACGCTGTGGCTGGAACCGTTGGGCGTCCGCGATTCCAGAGGAGAACCGCGGGGCCCGTCGGGGCCCCCCTTGGGAGAAGGAGCGGTGGGAGGATATATGTGGGGGGCTTTTCACAGAGGGCAAGACCAACGGCGTTTTGATGACGGACAGCACCATGGCGTACAAGAGCGTCAAGCGCGGTGGCCTCGTCGAACACCATTCGGTGAACCACTCGGCTCACGAGTGCAATAGGTCGGAGGACGTGATGGAGGACGTCGCCACGACGCTGCCAGCCCTCCTTGCGACGTCGGAGGACGTCGCAAGGAGGGTTGGCATGGCAGTCGCGCAGCTCTTGCAAGAAGGAGCTGCCCGAAACTGGTTTAAAAGTTCGGACGGAGGAAGACAGGACGCGCGCCGCGCTGTACGTGACAGCTGCCCCATGGCGCCGCATGATCGGCAATGTGGACGGTTGGAGTGAGTTCTGCAAGGCAGCAGAGGACTGGATGGCAGAGGAGCGTTCGCAACGACTCCAAGCGATTCTGCAAGCGCACCCGCTGGCTTGGCATCGCCGCAGGGCGCCAGCGTCGGGGTTGGTCCAGGCGCCCCCCCCGCTTGGCGCTCCGTCTTCGGGCCCCGTCGCAGAGGGGAACGTTGCAGCGGGCGCCGACGACGTGGGCGGCGGACTGGCTGCGGCAGCGGGCGCAAGTGCGGAGGTCCCCGCGGGGCGGCCACTGTGGGGCGACCGGTACCTCGAACGCCAAGGCCCAGCCCCTGCGCGCGGTCGCCACGCCCTGAATAACGTCCTGGGCGGTCCACAGTTTAGCGACGAGGACCTCGACGTTGCGTGCAGTCTGGTTCTTGCGGAAACAGATGATCCTCGGACCGTTCACGTGAGCAGAGGGGGCTGGTACTCCCACTCCGTGCTCGCAGCGGCCTTCGACACAGTCGTGCCCCCCTCCTGGCGGATGATGTTTTCGCCTCTACTGCCGACGTCGTGGCATGATTTCACTGCCTGCGATGACGTGCTTGGGGCGCTTGTCAACTACAACGGTGTCCACTGGACGGCCATCGTGAAACACAACACTCACGTGTGGCACGTGGACAATATTCGTGAGCCTGCCGCCATGGACCGCCTTGTATTTCAGAGGCTGCTTCGCATGCATATGATGGCTTTCCCCGTAGTGGCAAACGACTGCCACGAGAAGGAGGGTTCGCGCTGATGGCGCTTTTTGATGAGGAGCGGGGAGAAAGGAGGAAGAGGAGGCGGGGAGGAGGGGAGGAGGAGTAGGAGGAGGAGGGCGAGAAGGAGGAGGATGAGGAGGAGGTGGGTGAGGACGAGGGGGGGGGGAGAAGGAGGGGAAGGAGGAGTAGGGGAGGAGGAGGAAGAGGAGGAGGAGGGGGAGGA